GCCACTGCTGCTATAATTTGCAGGCGGGGGGCCATCCAGCTGCTACAGGGTCTAATTTTTTGATAGGTATGCAATAGGTCTCTTCCAGGGGCCTACTCTCTGGGTGAGGACCCCTTTTGTAATACCTTTATGTTCATCCACATATAGACAGAAAGGTTTACTTATGTCTGGTAGTCCTAGGGCAGGGGCCTCTAAGAGCTTGTGTTTTAGGGTTTCAAAGGCCTCTTGCCTTTCCTGCATCCAGTTGAAGTCCTGTCCTTCTTTGGTAGCCTCATATAGGGGTTTTGCAATTTCAGTGAACCCCAAAACCCAGAGGCGGCAGAACCCTGTGGTACCCAGGAATTCCCTTACCTGTTTTCTGGAGGTTGGTTCAGGTACCTTTAGCACAGTCTCTTTGTGGGCCTTAGTCAACCACCGCTGCCCCTCCTTGAGGATGTACCCTAGGTATGTCACTTCTTGCAGAAATATCTGAGCTTTTTTTGCTGAGGCCTGGTATCCCAAGTCCCCAAGTATGTGGAGTAAGTCCTCTGTCCCCTCCAGGCAGGACTTCTGGTCTGGTGCCACGATCAATAAGTCATCTACATATTGTAACAGGCTTATGTCGGGGTGTTGGGCTCTGAACTCACCCAGATCTTCATGCAGGGCCTCATCGAATATAGTTGGAGAATTTTTAAACCCTTGAGGCAGTCGCGTCCAGGTCAGCTGGCCACTGATTCCTGCCTCCGGATCATGCCATTCAAAGGCAAAGTAGGGCTGACACTGTATACGATTGCCGATCTGGTGGCAGGGTACTGAGTAACGTATAAGGGTTGGGGACAGTGGGATGAATGTCAATGACTCTCTTGTTCACCTCCCTTAAATCTTGTATGGTCTATAGTCCCGGGATTAGGGCTTTTTGACAGGCAGGAGTGGGGTGTTCCAGGCAGACTGGGTCGTTCTCAGCACCCCCAGTTCCATTAATCTGGTATGTGGAGTAATTCCACGTTTTGCCTCTAGGGGCATAGAATACTGGCGCACTTTAACAGGGTCCGCCCCTGCTTTGAGTTCAACATATACAGGAGGCCTGTGTCCTGCCAGACCCATACCCCCTGTTTCCGCCCAGGCTTGGGGAAATTCTTGGAGCCAATCTGATATATCAGGGTTTAGTTGGATCGGCTCCTGATGGAGTCTATATTCCTCAGTCAGGTCGTTGGTGACTAGAACCTGAACTGGTGCCCCGTTGTGAAGCAGGGTGGCTCCTTTAGCTGTGAAGTGGATCTGTGCCCTCATTTTTGACAATAAATCTCTGCCCAGAAGTGGGTAGGGACATTCTGGGATTACTAGAAACGAGTGGGATACCCGGCCCTTCCCTAAATCTACTGTTCTTCGGGTAGTCCATGAATAGGGCTTTGTTCCTTTTGCCCCCTCTACACATGTAGTTCTGGAGGACACTGGCCCTCTTGGCTCCAATAAAACCGAATTCTGGGCACCAGTATCCACCATAAACCCAATTGGTTTCCCCTCTATTTTCAGGGTCACCCTGGGCTCAGGGAGGGGACTTGAGCCCCGTCTCCCTAGTCACTGTCTTCACCCCCAATTAGAGCCAGTAATACCTTAGCTGATTGCTTATTCTTCTTGGGGCAGTCCTTCACCCAGTGCCCTTCCTCCTTGCAGTACGCACACTGGTTTTTCCCTACCTTATTTCGTGATCTGGATCCCACCGGTGAGCTCCCTCTGTACTGGGGGTTGGTTGCCAATAATATCTCTCTGAGGTCCTTCTTGTGGTGGGCCTGTTGTCTCTCCAGGACCCTGGTCAGGCTTGCTTCCTGTCTTTTTTCTTTTCTTTCCTCTCTTTGTTCTGCTGTCTCCCTTCTATTATAAACCTTTTCCACCACTATTAAGTCCCTAAGGTTCTTTTCTCCTAGTCTATCTAAAGAATGCAACTTTCTCTTGATGTCAGGGGCTGCCTGGTTAACGAAAGCAAACATCACAGTTTGAGCTGATTCCTCCACTTCTGGGTCATACAGAGTGAACTGCCAGAAGGCATCTTGTAACCTCTCTAGGTATGAGGCTGGGCTCTCTTCGGGCCCCTGTCTGACATCATAGACCTTAGACATATTGGCGGGTTTTGGAGCTGCCATTTTGAGACCTGCTAACAGAGTCTGGTGGTAGACCAGGAGCCTCTCCTTACCTTCTGCCATGTTGTAGTCCCAGTTGGGATGGCTAGGGGGAAAGCTGGCATTAATGATGCCTGGGTCTGTGGTAGGGTCCCCGGTGGGGCCCAGAACCAATTCCCGGGCTGCCTCGAGGATCCTGTTTCGCTCCTCAGTAGTGAACAAGACACTCAGGAGTTGGTGGCAGTCGTCCCAGGTGGGCTGGTGAGTGAAGAGAACAGTTTCCAATAAGTTAATCAAGTCCCTGGGGTTTTCAGAGAAAGGTGCATTCTGTGAGCACCAAGTGTAAAGATCACTGGTGGCAAAGGGCCAGTAATGAAAGGGCTGATTGCCCTCTCCATCTGGGGGCCCCGCCGGCCGGAGGGGGTGGACAATGGTGTCAGGCTGGGAAGCTGCCCCCCTCTGGCTCCATGTGGCCTGCTCAGGTCCCTGTGGAGGCAATAGTGGCTCCTCAGGGTTAGGAGGCAGGGCCTGCACTTGTGGCGCCGTTGGCAGGGTGCCTGTCTGAGAGGAGTAGGGCGGGGGAAAGATGTCGTTCTCCTCCATGCCTCCCTGGAGAATGGGTTTCTCTTCTGCCTTTGGTCTGAGAGGGAGGACCTGCAGAGGTGGAGGGGGAGCAGTTGGATTAATCGGGGGAAGGAAGGACTTGACCCAGGTAGGGGGGCCATCGGGTCGTTCGATGAGGCCTCGCCAGGTCATGATGTATGGGATCCGGTCCTGGTGGCCCATCCGTGGGCGGAAGACGTGGTCCTCTACCCTGGAAATTAAACTCAGGTTAAAAGTCCCTTCAGGGGGCCATCCAACATTGAAGGAGGGCCAATAAACCGAACATTAAGTTGTCCATTTCTTTTTCTTTACATCTACAGTATTGTTATGGGCAATTGTCTTAATGTCCTCCCAGTGGACTAGTGTAAGATCTAGAGGGGAAGATGAGGTGTTGCCCATAGCATTTCTCAGTCCCGTCCGTTGTGTCAACAAAGAAATTAGAACAAAGATCACAAGACAGAAGAACGACACAGACAGAGGGCCCAAAATAAACTACCACAGCTTTCAGATGGTCTGGACTCTCAGCTGTGTGGATTCCCTGGCTCGATTGTGCCAAAGACTGTAGGGATAGGACACGCGTGTCCCAACAGGGTCGCATCACGAGGTCCTCTGAGGTTTTAGATGGACTAGTGTCCTGGTGGGGTGTCCGGTGGGGAACACCCACCCCGACAAGGATGGGGACGTCTCCCAAATCCTCCAGGTCACCTTGCTAGCGTTCCAGCAACAAAAAACTGAGATCAGATGGCTGCGACCAAAGGGAAAGTATAGAAAAGACAGGCAGACAAACACAGTTTTACAAAAACTTACCCGGCCGGTTGATCACAAACCTTTTGGGGTTGGTTCCTCTTGGGGGTGGGGGGTCTCTGGGGGGATCCTGGACGAGCCTCCAAATGTTGTACCTCATCCACTGGACCCCAAAAAGACCACCGAGGACCCAACACACCAAAATGCAAAAGCAAAGGTTTATGGTTTATTCGGGCTTAAGCCCGGGCTCTCAGACCTCACCAACTCAACGGATATGTGCTGAGAGTCCAGAGTAAGAGAGAGTGGAGCCTTTTATAGGTTTTAGACAAAGAGAGGAGGGGGATACCGAAGATACATTTTGGTTGGTTCAAGGAGCCCATGCGCGGCAACATAATTTTAAACTGATTGGATGTATAAGATGCAGCCCTGGAAGTTTCTTATTGGTAGGTAGTATTCTCAGGGCTGTGGAATGTGCTGTTATCTGTGGGGCCAGGAGTCTCAATTTTTACCTTATAGGGCAGTTTTCATGCCTGGGCTTGCTTAATCTATAGTTTCCTGGAAGGTGGGGGGAATAGCAGGTGGGGGTCAGGGCATGCCAGGGCATGTCTAGGCATGTCTAAAGCAGCAGCCAAGCATTTTACAGAAGCTAAAAGAGCAATTAGTGGGGGTCTGGAGGGATTGGGGGGTAGCGGGTGAATGAAGAGGGTCTCAGGGTTCTACACTTTTATGTATATAAGTGTATTGCCTGCACCCGTAAGTAATGTAAGTGCACCAGTGCCCGCAGAGGTCAGAAAAGGGCATCAGATCCCCTGGAATTGGAGTTATAGATGGTTGTTAGCTGCCATATGGGTGCTGGGAATCAAACCCAGGTCCTTTGCAAGAGTAGCTGGTGCTCTTAACCACTGCACTATCTCTCCAGCCCCTTAAACTGTTCTTAAACCTCACATCTCACACTTCAAACAACCAACCAAGTACTACGCTCTTGGAAGGAAGGCTCCATGTAGTTAGCTAATGCTTTTGGAACCACTTACTGAGCTGAACTTCTTTACTTATTAGCAAGTTGACTTTCATTACCTCGTAGGTCCGTTTATGTGCTGTAGTATCTTTGCAGATCACCTAACCAGTTCTACTGAGCTTCTTGTGAGTTATTGACTGTTTCCTGTATTATAACGTCTTCATTTATTCCTCATCCACTTTGTGAGTATTCTCTATATAACACTTGTGAAACCTATCATAAATGTATTCTTCTGGTTATTTTTATCAAATTTGAAAATTATAAGCAAAGAAGAAAGTTTATTCTTACATTTAAAAACAGGAAAGAGTATAAAACTCAGATACAGACGAGGGTTGGAAATGTCAAGATATACCATACATAGTACTGTTACATTGGATTTTCTGTGCTCTCTGAACAAGACCAAATGGATTAATAATGATACATGTAAGAAAATACCATACATGAATGCACATCATATAAAACCATGGTTGAGGGGAAAATCAATGGAGACATGATAGGCTTCATCAGCAGAGGTTCAAGCAAGTCAGCAACACTGGCTCTTTTCATGTCTTGCTCGGCTTTTGGAGCCTGCTGACATGCTCCCTAAATACCTGCTTCACCTGCTTGTTCCTCAGGGTGTAGATGAAAGGGTTAAGGGTTGGCGTCACTACAGTGTTGAGCAAAGCCACCACCTTGTTCTGGTCCTCCCCCTGCCCACTCTTGCCCGACTGGACATACATGAAGATACAGCTGCCGTAGAACAGAGATACGACGATGATGTGGGAGGAGCAAGTTGAGAAGGCTTTCTTCCTCTCTTTGGCTGAGGGGATGTGCAGGATGGTATAGAGGATGTGGCTGTAGCAGGTGGCAGTCACAGCCAGAGTGCCCAGCAGGCTGAAGTTGGCAATAACAAAACTCAGGAACTCTACCAGGCTTGTATCTGCACATATGAGTTCCAGGATTGGGAAGTTGTCACAGAAGAAATGGTTAACTACATTGGGGCCACAGAATGGCTGCTGAAATATAATGGAACTTGGAACCAGGATGAGGAGGAATCCTGATGTCCATGAGCAGAGCACAAGCTGGACACAGACCCTTTTGCTCATGATGGTGGCATAACGCAGAGGGTTACAAATGGCTACCTACCTGTCAAAGGACATCACTGCCAGTAGGAAGAACTTTGTGGTGCCCAGGAAGAAGTAGAGGAATGCTTGGAGGAAGCATCCTGGTAGGGAGATGGTCCTGTGTCCTGTGATGATGTTGGTCAGCATCTTGGGGAAGATGACTGAGGTGAACAAGATCTCCAGGACAGCAAAGTTGCGAAGGAAGTAGTACATGGGGGTGTGGAGGCGCCTGTCCATGAGGGTGACGATGATGATGAGGACATTCCCCAGCAGTGTGAGGAGGTATGTCAAGAAGAACCCCAGGAAGATGAGCAGCTGAAACTCACAGTCATCAGAGAGCCCCAGCAGGACAAACTTGGTGATGGCGGTGCGGTTCTCCATGGCTCTTCTGACCTGGGTTGGGATGGCTCATAAAGCGGGCTCAGCATCCCAACGTGTGAGTTTTGAGCATCTGGAGACAACCTGGAACTGAACAGTGCAGAGGAATGGATGCCACATTGTGAGCTGGAGGAGTCTTTTGTTTTTTACAGCCACCAGCCCTCTCCCTCCTCAGGCTAATTGTCAAGATCTCTCATTTAGTCAACATCAGGCCATAAACTGACCAAGTTTTAGTAAATTTGGGGCAATTATTTCAGATAAGTTTTTAAAACTTTTTTTTAAAATGTAGCCTATTTTTTGTTAGGAAAATTTCCTTTCATTATTTTACATCACGTGATATATTTTCCCATATTTATTAAAATGTTGTAAGGAGACTCCCAAATCCATTAATATATTTCCCTCTGTAAATCCTACATCCCACAAATCATGGGCTTTTATTGACAACATTGATGGAAAACTTACTCAAGAGCTTGTTATTGAAGGCATTTTAGTAAAAGAGGCTGTAATTGTATCTGAAGTCTAGTTACCTATACTTAAGACACTGTTACCTTAAGCTTAGGTTAACATTGGTTAATATCGTCCTTAGACATCTTCATAAATCTTGTCATTGATTATTTTTTTTTGGGAGGGGGTATCTTTTTGAGACAAGGTCTCCCTGTAGCCTGGAACTCACTATGTAGACCAGGCTGGCTTCGATCTCACAGAGATCTGCCTGCCTCTGCCTCCTGAGTGCTGGGACTAAAAGCGTGCGCCACCATGCCCGGTTTATTGATTGTTCTTTACAGAAATGATAGGGCAAGGAAAACTACTTCCCTAAGCTGGTTAACCTAAGCTTAAGAAACCTTGCAGCAATGTGAAAAATAATGATACCAATGGAAAATGTTCTTCTAAGACTTAAGCAGATAATGCATAGCCAATCCTTAGTCCTGGGCTACCGAGTGAGCAGTTACATAATATAAGGTATCCTTTTTTTTTTTTTTTTTTTTGTCTTTTTGAGACAGGGTCTCCCTATAGCCCTAGCTGGTCTCAAACTCACAGAGATCCACCTGTCTCTGCCTCCCAAGTGTAAAGGCATGCGCCACCACTCCTGGCAATATCAGATATCTTAATTTCTTCCTTTATGTCTAAAATTAGTACAAAAATAATGTAAGGGTAAATCATAGAAAATATGGTGAATTTGGGGGAAATACATGTTGTTTTATTTTTAAAAAAATATTTTATTTATTAATTTAATTTTATGTGTATGAGTGTATTGCCTGCATGTATGTGAGTGCACCCATGTGGTGCAATGCTGTGGAGGTCAGAAGGGGACCTCGGATTCCCCTGGAACTGGAGTTAAGGACGGTTCGTAGCCACCATGTGGGTGCTGGAAATCGAACCTGGGTCCTCTGCAAGAGCAGTCAGTGCTCTTAACCGCTGAGCCATCTCTCCAGCCCTTTATTTATTATTTTTATTTTATGTGTATAAGTGTACTGCCTGCATGTCTCTAAATGCACCCATGTCATGCAATGCTCATGGAAGTCAGAAGAGGGTGTCAGATCCCCTGGAAGTGGAATTACTGATGGCTGTTAGCCTCCATGTGAGTGCTGGGAACCGAATCCAAATCCTCTGTAAGAAAAGCCAGTGCTCTTAACTGCTAAGCCATTTCTCCAGCCCAGAAATACATGCTTTAAATGCTTTAGAATTATAAAAATCTTAGCTGCAGGCAGGTGAGATGGCTCAGCAGGGGAAGCACTTGCTACACAAGTCCTACCAATTCAGAACCCATGTAAAGGTGAAAGGAAAGAACCAACTCCACACAGTTGTCCTCTGGCCGCCACATGTGTGCTATGCTGCACACATGCCAACAAACCGTATCATATACATACACAGTAATGATGATAGTAAGAGTTATTAACAGCTCAATAATGATAAAGAATTATTAACAGCTCATTATGAAACACGACATCTAGAAGAAGAAGAATAAAGCTTCACGTACAACCACACAAAGACAACATTTGTGAAGCTTTTGATGTGGGGTACAGTGATGGAGCACTTAACTAGCGTATATGAGGCCATGGCTTCAAGACCTTGCACCAAATTTTCTTTGATGTGCTCTATTGTGTTTTTCTATGCTATTTACCATTTATTTATTGGCTTATGTAGCTGTGCTCATAGATTTTGCTACTTTACCTCTTTCCTTCCCACATTTTACTAAAATAAATTTGCTGTTGTCACAAACTTTTTGTAATTATTTAGCTATTTTTGAGGAACACGTGCTAGGGAAGCTGATATGTAGAGATAGGCATGCAACTATGGATTAGGTATGTTTAATGCTTTTGAAAACCCTAAATAATAAAAACAAATAATATAATATAAATGGTTATTCAGAGTTGGGCATCAGTCCAATCTCAATTTTAGAGAATTTACCCTCTTCTTAAGTGCTGATTTTAGGTTACACTCGTTAGTAGTGTCCTTAGACATCTTCATAAACCTTGTCATTGATCTTTATAGAAACGACACGCTAAAGCAAATTTTTCTTTCTTTCTTTTTTTTTTTTTGAGACAGGGTTTTGTAATGTAGCCCAGACTGGCCTTGAACTTGTCATCCTCTTGCCTCACTCTCTAGAACTCTGGGAATACAGGTGAGCAGCACCACACCTGACCAAGACAAGCTTCTGTATGGGAAACTGACTCTTCAGAATATTTCAGGAGACATAAAGGGTAAACAGATGGCTGAAGGTATAGGAGAGGCCTTGGAGACACTGTGACATAGTCAGGATGCTGAGCACCCTGAAAGACCAGAGAAGCAGCTGTGCCACAGTCTGCCCAGGGACACCTGGAAACAAGCGACAGACACCTAGACAGTGCCCCGAATGCCCTTCCCCCCGGCTTCCAAAAATTGCATGAGACAGGTTGCCCCAGTCCCACAGGCTTCAGAGCTTGATTGCCTTCCCAGGCAGCTCTAATGGCTGAGAGTCCTGCTTGCCATGGGAGCTTCTGGGTCTACAATGTTGCTTGAGGGCTATGCTTCTTACGGGACTCACCAGGTTTTCTAAGACGGTCTGCAGATCATGGACATGGGTAGGTCTTGTCCGCTTGCACTTCAAGCATCACCAAACCTTCATGTTTCCCAACAACCCCATTTCCCTTGGTAGAAGTCCCTTGCTCAGTTGTCACCGACACATGTCTGGGTCTTCCCAGAAGTGAGTTGTCTCTGGATACTCGCCACGGCTGAGTTTACTAATTTCTTAAGAGGCTGCTAGAGCTCTTGTCCCCTACTGTTACTGCTGGACCACTTTCTTGGGAAAGCGAATGTACAAACCTAGTTAAATATTCTCTTACTCCTGTACCAAAGGAGAGACAGATATCAATTGATAATTTATGTGGCTGACTTTCATTTGTATTTGAGTTTACTAACTAATGATACATGCTCTTCCAGGGCTGTGGTGCCGATAGACGATTCTAGATTAAACTAATCATGATAGACTCTTTGTGACCTGGGAGGAGGCCTGGTATGTTTGGGGTGCTCCTTGGTCTCCATGGAAATTCAGAGACACACAAGATACACAGCTCACCCGAGATTCTCATTCTACTTTTGCTGGATGGAGCTTCATTTCCCTTGAGATTCATTACCATCAGTGATAACAGGGACTTAAAAGGTCCCTTACCTCTTATTTTATTCGGCTTTGGGATCGAAAGTTTACTTTGTTCTGACCAAGAAGCCCAGAAACTTGAAATAAAGTTTTAATTAGGAAAAGAAACATGCTTATTAAAACATTCAATACAGTTTTGTTGTTTATTGTGTGACAGACACTGCTGTGGATACTACACATGAGGAGGTTTTGTGGGGGGACAATAGACACTAAAAAATAATCAGACAAATTGCAGTTGTGACTTGTGCTCTGAAGAACATCATTGGAGATCCTGACCCAGACTGAAGGACAGGTGTCCAGTCTACTTGGACTACTATAAAAATACCCTGGCTGAGTGGGAATGGACACTTGTTTCCCATGACTCTGGGGGCTGGGGAGTCCCATGATGAGGATGCCACCTGATTCAGTGTCTAGTGATGGACTGCTTGGCTTGCTGATGGCTGCCTTTCTTGTTGTGGTGCAGATTGAGAGGGCTCTGGTCTCCTCTCAAAAAGGCTCTACTTTCATGGCCTATTTCTTTGTTAATTTTTAAAAAATTTTGTTGTATGACTGTTATGTCTGCATGTGTGTAAGTGCACCTGTTTTGTGCAGTGCCCATGGAGGTCAGAAGAGGGCGTCGGATCCCCTGGAACTGGAGTTAGGATGGTAGTCATCTGTGGGTTCTGGGAAACAAACCCAGGTCCCCTGCAAGAGCAGCCAGTGCCCTTAACTGCCGAGCCATTTCACCAGCCTCACTAAGATTATCTTGTAATCCCACTTTCCTTCTTTGACCACCAAACTATTTTCTAAGTTAGATAAAACCTGTAGGCTTTTGCTAATAAAACTAGCCGGGCATGGTGGCACACACCTTTAATCCCAGCATTTGGGAGGCAGAGGCAGGCGGATCTCTGTGAGTTCAGGCCAGCCTGGTCTACATAGTGAGTTCTAGGACAGCTGAAGGTACAGGGAGACCCTGCCTCAAAAAGACCAAACCAAACCAAAACAAAACAAAAAACTGGTATAACTTGATTGTAGTAAAAGGTATAATTTTAGGAGCCAATACTGCATTTGAAAGTCAAATGAATGAGAACCTTTCTTTTTTATTTTATTTTTTAATTTATGTGCGTGTGTGTGTGTGTGTGTGTTTGTGTGCATGGGTCTGCCAGGATGCGCATGTGGAGGTCAGAGGACAACTTGAGGGAATTTGCTCTCTTCTTCTACCATGTGGATTCTGGGGATTGAACTCAGGTTTGTTAGGCTTGGTGACAAGTACCCTTACCTACTGAACCATCTCACTGGCATATCAGAATATATTTCTGATATGTGCTTTTAAAAACATTACTTAGGAGACTGTTAATTTAACTTGAGTGTCTAGCTATCCTGCTGTAGA